AGAAAAAAAAAAAAAACACTATCTACAAATGGGGTATAATTAGTAAACAGTAGTAGTAGAAGCAGTCTACTACTAAAGTAGTTAGTAGTATTATGTAATCTTCTCCTCAAATGGATGTCAGATGGCGATTGACGTTCTGTGGTTCGTAAGCTTCTTGTTAATGGCTTAAGTGGCTTAAGGCTTAAAACAAAAAAAAAACAAAAAAAAAAAGGCAAGAAAGAAAGAAAAAAGAAAGAAATGCAAAGAGAAAGAAACGGAACTAACTTCTGAGTGAGAGTGAAAAAGAAGCAAGAATTTACTCTCGGGTGTAGTGGTCTTTGTGTGTGTGTGGATGACCTTAATATGGAAAGTAAGTGGAGAGTGTGGAGTATAAGAGATCGAGAGTGGACTTCGCTTGTGTATTATTTCACATAAGTTCAACTTTTGTTTACTTTAAGGGTGAGTTTTTAAAATTTCCTTTTTTTTTTCTTTTTTTTAATTTAAATTTTTTTTTTTTTTTTTTTTGAATAATAAAATGCACAAAATCATGAAAAATACATGATACTTTAAAAAGACTATGCACATAAATATTTATTTATTTATGGAATCGTTAATGAAAATTAATCTTCAACTGCTTAAACACATAAATAAATGAATAAAGTGATTTATATTAAACAAAAAAAAAAAGCAAAAAAAAAACAAAGTTAATAAAAATAAAACTTGATATGTTTCAATTATGTAGAAATAATAATTGTTTTGTTTATATGTTTTATATCTACGACCGGAAGATATGTACACTAAGCTTGTCATCTCATTCGAAAATCCCGTACGCAATGCTCTTTGTGTGCCTACGTGCATTGTTCAAAGATCGTCTTTGTAAGTTGGTGACAGCCAGAAATAGATTTCGAAACAAATTTCTTTGACGGGTCAGGCAGCATTTATATCGTATATCCGTCCATGTTTCCCATTCATTCTGCTTGTTCTTACACAGCACACCTCATTGATATTATTTGATGTATGTGAATGAGTCACCATCAGTCGATTCACTTATTTAATTGATTTTCTCAATTGTTACCAACGAGGCTGTCAAAGAAAAAAAAAATTCTTGAATTTTTTAAATTATAAAAATCAATCGTGTTTTAAAAGTATTAATAGCTGACATATATATATACATATATATATACACGGATTGACAGAAGTGTTTGTTTTGTAATTAAATTTTTTTCTTTGAAATCGTGATTACAGCAGGCGGAGAGAGATCGACAAAAATGGCTAAATCGATTTCACCATTCACGCGGTCTAATCTATTCTTTGTTACATTTTCACATATCTATGTCTACACGATGCAAAGATTTGGCCAAAATTAATATAGATAATAGTGATTAAATGTTCACCTTTGGGATCTAATTGTCGACGTTGAACAATATCAGGCAAAAAGTGCTTTGTGAATTGCGGTCATGTCACGTCACGTTGGCGGATCTACGATACGACGTATCGTGTTGACCGGTTTACAGATGTGTAGTTTTAGTCGTTGTACCTTCTTTGTGGTATAAAAATGATTCTCTTGAAGTTGCACACGATGCTAAACCTAATCCTTATTATTGTTATTCTGTAAGTCTGGAAAAAAAAAAAAAACAACTGACGAGTTGGCTAAGAATTCATCAGAGATTTTCGCCATAAAATTGATTGATCTGCTTTATCTCTCTATATATATATATATACATAAGCTGTCGAAAATTCGATTGAAGGCGGATGTAACTTTATTTATTTATTTTTTTTTTTTTTTACTAAAATCGATAATGTATTTGTGCATGGGTTTCGTAATCATTCGTCTTAGTAGTAGGTATAGATTTTTGCGAAGAAATGTGCATTCAAGCCGTATGTTACTTCACCTTTTCCTATTATAGTCAGAATACTTCTTTTAGGCATTCAAGTTTTTGCTTGTTTGTTTGTTTGTTTGTTTTCGATAACCATAACCAGTTTTTTTTCCTAGACGCATGTAACAGTCAGATTGTTTGTAAGTAATTGTATGCATTTGTTGTTTCGTTAATTTCAACCTAATATAGATTATTAAACCTTGACTCCAATTCTAGAGTATACGGCAATTAAACTTAATAAACAAAATCAGCCTAAGCATGTATAACTGATTCAACTAACAAGCAATGCAGTGCGAATTTCAAAAATTTTTTTATTCACCACGAGCACAATTAATTGCATTTGTGTTGATAAAGCGTTAAAATGCTCGTACGTATGCCGCAACGCTACGTGGCGTAGACAAATTCTCGAACTGCTAAGGCAGCAGGTGCGCTTTTCCTTTCAACGTTGAAGTGAAGGCGGCGTCAGCTCCATAATTTTATATCAATATCGAGCAAGATTGGGATTTGTCTTTACATCATTGCCAATCAATCAATCTAAAGATGTCTGTATATCTTTTTCGATTCCATATGTCTGTTCGTCCGTTATCATTGGAAGGGCTGCAAAAAGGCTGCAACATAAAATTCAAACGACAAACAGACTTTTTGGAAGACTTTTGACCATCAAGTTGGAAGAATGGACAAGACCCAGTGACAATGTCACAGTGATGGGAAAGGCAGCCTGTTTGTTCCTTAGTCCTAAGAGCGAAGAATAAGAAAGACTCGGTTCAAAGTGTACGTAAGTCATTTGTGAAGTTGATCCGTGAACATTAACGAAGACTGTATGTAGTAGTTAAGGCAATCAAGCTTTTTACAAGCGTCTTGGATGTTGTGTGACCCTTTTCTCTTCTAAAAGGAAGTTTGTTAGAATTGCAAGATTCTAAAACTAGAAACATATACCTTGTTCTACGACAAACATATTCATCATGATACGTCCATACGTCCCTGTCGAAACATCTTATCAAATTTTATCTCTATGAAAGTATTTCTCATATTACACATGCTCTGTGCTTGATGAGCATACAACCAGATCGTTAAAGAGATCGACACAGTTAATTGATTAAATAATGAGAAGATTTTGCCTTTGATGGATTTCCAGCTCGGGGCAGATTTAGTTGTAAAGCGTTTTCTGTGGCAGTTTATTTTTGGTATACGGTTTAATGTGTGGATTAGTGCAAAACCTCGTATAGCTTCGTATTCGCTTGCTGATCCGTCTTTCGCAAGAAGACGATTCCTCGACAATCGGCATTATGAGTATTCGCGTTGTAAGTTGGCTGACATCTACCCTTAAATCTTTCTACTAAATTTCAGATTAATATTTGCTTAATAAGTTTTTGTTGTAAATTTATGAAAAATATTTCCTTTCGGAAGCATTCCCTTTCAGATGTTGATTTCAAGGTATGCCTCCATGGACGAGGGGGGTTACTTTGCTTATATTTAAAGGTGATTTGCTTTTATTACATATTAATTTGTCCCTCACGTGTGGATAGATAGAATGGACGCACGGATAGATTTTTTCGCTTATGCTGTTTTAAAGCGGGCACATGAGTAAGCGAATACCGAGCGAACAAATTAGTATAGCTAAACGGTGAGGTTGGCGAGGGAAAAGGACGATAAGAAGCGACATGATGCGAGTGTAAAGCTGTCATCGCTTATGCTTGTAATTTATTGCACATCAGTATCAAATAAACAATTATGATAAAAAATAAAAAAAATAATAATAATAATAAATTCCATAAATTAATGTACAATGATATAATGAAAGCGTTTGTGTGTAAAAAATTACTAAAAAAAAAAAAAAAAATCATTGTCGCGGTAAGTGCTGTTATTGTTGTTGTTGCTGCTGCAGATAAAAGGAATAAAATGCAATAAAAAATCGAAATAATGCACAAAATAGTATTAAAAATCGTGCGAATTTGTTCATTCAGTGTGTATAAGTAAGTAAGTGAGTGAGTGAGTGAGTGCTAGTGTTTGTCCGTCCGTATTTATGTATATTACAATTATATAAATAATTTTTTTTTTTTATTTTATATGCATATATATGCAAATGTATGCATGAATAAATGAGTAACTGAATGAATAAAATACGCGAGAAATTCTATATAAAAACAATAACAACAACAGCAATAACGGCAAGCGCGAGAAGAGATATATTCAATATAAAATTTTAGGTTTTCGTTTTTTTTTTTTTTTTTTTTTTTCAATCTGAATTCTTTGTTATTATATGGAAGTGTATGTTGGAGTGTGTGTGTGTGCGTGTGTGGTGTTTGTTGTATGTGTGTTGTGTGCGTGTGCGTGTGCGTGCGCGTATATATTTGATAAAAGAACCTGACCTATGTTAAAGTTGTTAAAGTTTTTATTGAGATTGTGTCGCTGATTAAAATTGAAATGCTGCGGCTAGCGGTTCATGTTTTACAATAATTTTACCCATATAAAACATGTTATATTATTATTAAATATTTTATGGTTATAAAAAAAAAAAAAGCAAAAAGGTATTTTTAATATATTTTTGGTTAAATATTTTACTTTTTTTTTTTTTTTTAATGTTTTCTTCTTCTTTTTTCTATATATATATTTTAAAAATATTTTTTTTTTTTTTTTTAAACCAGAAAAAATAATAACTCACTCTCACTCACTTACTCACTGTTTGCGATTGTGTTTAACTTACTAGCGAATAATTGATTTTTGTTATTTGTTGGTTTTGTTATTTTAACAAAAACAAATACACAAGAAGACGACCTGGGGTTTATTTTTCATTATATGTTCTCTCTCTCTCTCTCTCTCTCTATACAAATCCCATTAATAATATATATATATATATATTTATATATTTATATATATATATATATATATATATATATATATGCATACATATATACCCTTGCGCGCCCCGGGCCTAATGAAGTAGTTAGAGGAGAATTAGAAGTGTTGTGTAGTGTTGTGTGGACGGGGGGAACGCAGCGATAATAATAATAACAACAACAACAACAATTACTGAGGCATATTCAAACAACAACAGAAACCAAAATCAAAAATTTTCTTTTTATGTTCGTCTGTTTAGTTTCGTTAACTAAATTGTGGCCTATTTTTTGTTTTCTTTAATTCCAGTTAAAGAAATCGGCAATGGTCGTTCTCCTCTACTACAGGAGCCCCTATATGGAACACGTCCCCAATCCTACAGTGAGTATTATTTTGCTTTTTTGCTTTTCTTGCCTTGAGCGCTCTTTTTTAATAGTTTAATGCGGATAGGGTTAACATTAAAAATAATGAATTATTAACATTTAAAATTTAAATGCCTTTTATACATTCCTGCATAGAGTTAAGTGTGCGTGTGTGTGTGTGTGTGTATTCTGAAAATCTGCCGAAAAGTTAGAAAATCTGTAAAATTCAACGACTTTTTAAATAGTTTTTCTTCTTTTTTTTTTTTTTTTTTTTGTTTTTTTTTCTTACAATCGCTGAGCAGTGAGAGAGGGGAGTAATAGTGATACGGCTTTGATTTCGTATTATTACGAGTGCATAGAAAATTGAATTTTTAATAAATCGAAAAATGGTTAAAATATATATTTCAAAAGTCAAATTTAGAGAAGTGCGCTTGCACTTGCACGCTCATGTGTTCATTTTACTTTATTTATTTATTCATAATTTTGTTTCATTTCGCTCTCACCATTTGATGATTCTTGCTGCTTAACTGTCTTGCAAGATTGAAATTTTCCCCCAATCTTTGTGAAAAACAAACAACAACAACAACAACAATAACCAACTCGTCAATGTTTCATATTTAGTATTCACTTTAAACTATATTTCTGCTCCTATAACATGTTTGCTATATTCGACTATCGCTTTTTGTTCTCTTATAGGCATTTGAGTTGCCTTAAGCGGTCCTTTTTGAATTGAAATTTCATTCATTCTCTGCCCTTAACAAAGGCAATCGATTACAATAGTACTCTGCGTTCTTCTTTCAAGACTTGCAATTACATCAGCATCTGAATCGAGAGAGCTGGAAACAATTGTCCGCCTTTTCTCACAACTAAGAACATGAATGGCTGCAATTATAGCTTGCACTTGGTTTTACTGCCTGCGTTTACTACTCATCATGTGCGAAGCGCGGCCATAATGATTGTACGATTTATTATGGCTTTAAGGTGTGGTCATAAGAGCCAATAAATTTTGCCCAGCCAAGTATCAACGATTGCATCTATATGATATATAGTTAAGGCATTATCAATTAGTGGTCACAAAACTATAGTACTACACTGTGCCGTGTGGAGAATTAGAATTGATGAGAGGACAATACACTCGTGCTCTCTTCAAAGAATTCAACTAATATTGTTGTGGGTACGAAGAATAAGAAAAGGGAAAGAATAGTGAATGGATTCTAGAGGTCTCCTCGGATAAATACAAATACTCTTGTTGTTGTCACACTATGCGCGTATGACTTGCATACCTATCTTCATCCTTGAATGATTGATAGCCTCTTGTAAACTTCTACATGAAGTCAGATGTGAACACAGGTATATAAGGAAACACTCTTTGCTTGGCGCTTGGTTCATAGACTTTCAAACGGAAATTATTGTCAGTTATAGAGGGCTTTCCATGGTTTGCCTCACATACTACTAGAAGCGAAATATATTCTGCTTGCATAGCATGTTTGCTTCAATATCGATTGGGGATACTTCCTATCATACCAGAGCAAGTTACCCGAAAGCTTTTAAAAATCATTACCAATTATGTTTGATTAAAAAAAAAACCTCAATCAATTATTAGAAAGCATCAAATGAGTGATGTAGAGTGGAAAGGTTTTTTGAAGCAATCGATCCGATTTTGCTTTGTCGTCTTGTTCCGCTTATGTATGAAATGTTCAAATTGTCAGTGCAGTGCTATAAAAGTATCAGGTGCGTCAGTATCTATCCACTTTAAAGGCTTTAAATAATTTTGGGTTGACACGAAACTTACACTCGACTATGTAGTGACCATTAAATAAAATTGTGAACTATTTGTTAAATGTCGTGTTATTCTGCCCAGATTGCAGATTGTTGCATGTATACTTAGGATAATTTAGCATTTATTTTAGAACGCTAGCAGTCGGATGAATTTTTTTAGAGACCTGACCAAGTTTGGAAACAACGTGTGGTGCATACAAGCAACTACTACCTACAACTAAGACGTAGCATATATCTGACTGAAGGTAAAAAATTTATATTATTCTTTGCCGATTCTAATAAAGTTTTAATATCAAATATGATTGAACAGGAATAAAATTTCATGGAAATTTCAATGAAAAGGGGACGTGATTCAAATGGGAACAAGCTATCGACAATTTCAGCCAGGCCTGTCAAAGATGCTAATCTATATTCTCCGGATTTCGATAGACACACTCATGCTTATAATATACTCTACCAGTTCAATGTACAAATTACATTGAATCGGTTATATCAAGGTTTCTTGCTTATCTTATTTGTATTTCTGTGGGGCGCTTTGCCGGAAATTTCTTGCTATGATCGAGGCGCACCATATATATATTAAGTTTAGGTTTGTCTCACTTTCTGCGATCTTTATGAAGACTTTCAAAAATATATCCGGCAGACATACGGATTGGTTTTAGGCATCTTAGAAGTGTTGCCAACGAAATGGCATAAAGTTCATATCTTTGCGCTGTAATTATGATTGTAGGTGTGAAAGTATTTTTGCCTTTGCCCTTACAAGTGCATGTATAGTTAGTAACCGTTTGCCATTTTGATTTTCGCCTCATTACTGCTGCTTACCACCACTATCCGTTGCAAGAGCTAAGATAAGATGCTGTAAATATTCTATTCCACAGCAGCTACCAGCAAACTTTAACTACTTTGTTCTAAATTTTTGAAGGCAAGTGAGTGATGCGGCGGTGGTGGTGGTGGTGGTGGTGGTGGTGGTGGTGGTGATGGTGGTAATGTTATATTAACTCTTATACGATGGTATGTATGCTGTTGAAAAACTTTAATGAAATCTAAATGTTACCGACCGTCAGCAGAGCCAAAGTAAAGCCAACACCAGCGAGCAACATCCGAAAAACCGAACGTGAATATCATGCACAACAACATACATTAAAATTACTTTTTAAGTGTTTTTCACTCAAGTGTGGCACAGGCCAACAGTTGCAGCAAAGCACACACACACACACACACACACAAACAGAAAGAGAAAAAAACGATTTGAAATTCTAAACACAAGCACAGCATTACAGGAGAGCAAAAAAAGCCAAAGCCAAAGCCAACAGAGCTTTTTTTTTTTCTTTCGTAGTTTTGTTTCGTTTTTAAGTTTTTGTTTTCCAAAGAAAGAAGATTTGACGAAAAATAAAAAAAAAAGAAACACAAACACACAAAAATTGGTTCATAGTCGTTCTCAAAAAAAGAACAGAATAATCAAAGTTAGTTTATAAAAAAAAATCGATAGTTAGAGAGGCGAAAGAAATCGTCGCTCCCCCCCTGTTAGTGTTGGACAGGAGGAGGAGAAAGAAGAAGAGAAGATCATTTTCTCTTCATGCCCTGATAATATTATGCTGCGATATTTCATAAAATAAAATGAAATCACTTCTTAAAAATGTTTCTTTCCTCTCTCCCTTCACTACCGCCCCGATCCGCTCAATTGCTTTAGTTCTTTTATTCAGCACTTTATTCAAATTAAATGCATTTGCAACAGTATTTAAAAAGATAATTATTTAATAAGTGTGCTTCACATATATATGTATGTATGGTATGCTGCTGGTGGTGTAATGGCGTGTAGTGAGTTATATGCGTTGCTTCCTCCACTTTTTTTCTTTTTTTGCCACTCGTGTTCTTTGCGCTATGCATGTTGAAAAGCAATTAAAAATTGTCTATTTCCGTAGAAAACACTTGACTTGACCCAATTTATTATGCTGCATGAATGAGCGATGAGAGTGAATGAATGGTATGCTGTTGTGTGTATGCTTATACGCCATCATACGGAATGATATGTGAAATCAAACGTATAAAATTTCAAATGACATAAATATGTATACATAAGTAATGATATGGCTGGCAGAACTTGCTGCATAGATATATTGAAAAAAAAAAAAAAAAAGAAGAAATTTTTTTTATTTATACCTTACTACTACTAAATACTACTACAACTACTGTTACTATTATATTCTATTCCCTTATTCGTCTCTTCTCGTCTCGTTTTTTTTAATATTTGAAATTCTAGTGAGTGGTGCGCTCGTCGTTGTGGTGCTGCTTGCATATATATATAAGCATAACTTTTGTTCCTTCGTTTTTTGCTGCGCACTCTGCTTGTGTTGCTGTGTACTGCTTGGAGTATTTTGTTTAAAAACAAAGTCTTGTTTTTTTTCATTTTTTTTCTTTTTTTTCTATTCTTTCTTCCATTTTTTAAACTGTTACCATTACGTCTTTGACAGGTAACAACCTACACAATTTCACTTTTTATTTACATTCATCACATATACCGACACAGAGAGCATTCTGTGCACACTTTCACTTTTGTGTTGTCATGAGAAGAAAAGAACTTTTTCTCTGCACATTTTTTCTAATTAGTTAATTAAAAAATAAAATTAAACTTTTTCGTTCTTTTTTTTTTTTTTTTTTTTGTTTTTTTTTCATTAAATTTGAAAAGTTCATATTATTCTCTATATATATATATTCATCATCACTGGCTTTCGTTGTCGCCTTCGTTAAACGTCACAATACATAGAGACCTCTTTTTAATTCAAAGTATTCATCCATTTATTCATCTCTTGAAAGTATTTAATTTCATCAAAATTTAAGATAACTGAAGAGAAAGCATTGATTGTATTAGAAAGAGTTAGAAAGAGTTTGCCTCAATGGACTTAAGTGTTCGTTGAGTTCCTAATAATTTTGTGCCTTTGACGTAAGGCTTCAGTGAGTATGGTCCCCACTTTTTCATTCTGAATATTTTGTATAATGAGCGCCGGCATATTTCTTATCTTTCATGGCAAAAAGCCCTGATGTGATAGTAGCCACCCATCAACAGCAATTCGACCTCTTCGCAATTCTCATCAACTATTTCGATCTATTCGAAGTTCGAGAAAACTGTAATAAGTACACTTTGGTGAATATATGCATGCAGTTGCGATGTGGTCGCTATACAGTACTGTACTAGTTACTCGATTCTCTTCAGTCTTTAAAACAGTTAAACTGTGATGAGCA